CTAAACTGACTTATGATATTATCTTTTATTTTTAAATCATGTGCCCTTTTGACCTTATCTTGGTATCCAGTATAAGACGTTGGTCTATGAGTTTCTGCCAAACTGCTTTCTAGTTAATATTTGTCAAATATTGAGTTCTTACCCCCAGAAACTTGGATCTTATCAAACACTAGATTGCTATGGTAACTTATTACTGTGTATTGTGTACCTAATCTATTCCACTGATCAGCCACTCTATTTCTTAGCCAGTACTAGATTGTTTTGGTGATTACTACTTTGTAATTCAGTTTGAGATCTGGTACTGCTGGGCCACCTTCCTTCACATTTATTTCCATTAATTCCCTTGATATTCTTAACCTTTTGTTCTTCCAGATGAATGTTGTTATTGTTTTTTTCTAATTCTATAGAATAATTCTTTGGTAGTTTGATTGATATGACACTAAGTAAATTAATTTAGGCAGAATTGTCATTTTTATTATATTGGCTCAGCTTACCCACGAGCAATTAATATTTCTTCAATTGTTTAGACCTGTCTTTATTTGGTGAAAAGTGTTTTGAAAGGGGCAGCTAGGTGATGCAGTGGATAGAGCACCAGCCCTGAAGTCAGGAGGACCTGAGTTCAAATCCAGCCTCAGACCAAACACTTGACACTTACTAGCTGTTTTGCCCTGGGCAAGTCACTTAACCTCAATTGCCTAAAAAAAAAGTTTCATAATTTTGTTCATATAGTCCCTGAATTTGTGTTGGCAGGTAGACTCCTAAGTATTTTATTTAGTTATTTTAAATGGAATTTCTCTTTCTATCTCTTCCTGTGAACTTTGTTGGTAATATATAGAAATGCTGATGATTTATATGAATTTATTTTATATCTTGCAATTTTGCTACAGTTGTTAACTGTTTCAACTAATTTTTAATTGATTCTCTAGAATTTTCTGAATATACCACCATATAGTCTGCAAAGAATAATAATTTTGTTTCTTCATTGCCTATTCTAATTCCTTTAATTTCTGGTTCATGTCTTATTGATATAGCTAGCATTTCTAGTACAGAATTGAATAATAGTAGTGGTAATAGATATTCGTGCTTCACCTCTGAGCTTATTGGGAAGGCTTCAAGTTTATCCCTTTATAATGCTCACTCTTGCTTTTAGATAGTTATTACTTATCATTAAGTAAGTCTCCATATATTCCTATGCTTTCTAGTGTTTTTAATTGGAATCTGTGTAATTTGTCAAAGGTTTTTCTTTGTTTCAATCATTTATATAATAATATGATTTTTGTTGTTTTTGTTTTGGTATGGTCAATTATCCTGCTAGTTTTCCTCATTCATCATCTTGAGTCTTTCAAAGTTCTTTTTCTCTAAAATGTTGCTGACTTTATATAATTGATCTTCTAGTTCTGCTTATTTTCTCTGCTTTAGTCCATATTACCCATTCTTTAATGATTCTTTAAAATCATTTCTTTAATCATTCCTTATAGCACAATAATATTCCAATATGTTCATATATCACAATTAGTAGAGCCCTTCCCTGATTGTCTAAGAAGCTATCTAAGGCACCTGCTTAAATTCTAATTCTTTCTGTTTGTCTCCTTTTACTGCCTACTTCAGTAGCTATTCCCTCTTAAACTCCCTCCCCCACCTTGCTTTTTTTCCCTATTAAGTCTGATATAGTGCTTACAACTCTATGTGTTTGTTCAACCACTTTTATCCATTCCAGATGAATGTGAAGTTCATCTAATGCTTACTTTCTTTACCCTTTCCTCCATGTTTATATACTCTTCACATTCAACTCAGTTATAAGAAAGAGCAAGCTCCACCCCATTCCTCCTTTCTATGTTAGTGTATTCCTCTTTTTACTCTTTCTCTTTTCCCTCTTCAAATCCACAGAACAGAAGCAATCTACCTCAAGACTTCTGTTTCTATTACTTAACTCTCTTAATATCTTTTGAAGGCACTGAGATTTTAAAGGAACACTTGTTTCTTCTGCCCCTATAAGCAAGACATCATCCTACAGGTCCTTCTAAGGGATCAAATGAATTCATGTTTCTAGGTTTCTCTTGACACATATGTTGCATTTCAAAATTCCTCCTCAACTCTGGTAATTTTTTTTAATCAGAAATGCTTGAAAGTCTTCTATTCCATTGAAGGTCTATTTTTCTCCTGCAGGAGCATACTCAGCTTTACAGGGTAAGTTATTCTTTTTTTGGTTGAAAGGTTATAAGCCTACACCTATCGTTTTAGACTATTTATTTCAAGATCTCCTCTGACTTTCTTTCAAATCTTCCAGATTTTATGTGATCTTGACTGTGGTCCCTTGGTATGTAAACTGTTTCTTTCAGGACACTTTCAGTAATTTTTCTTTGAAGTGAGAACTCTAGATTTTAGCTTTTAAATGTCCTGGGACTTTTTCTTTTGGGATTCTTTTCAAGAAGTATTTGGTTGATTCTTTTTTCTTTACTCTGTCCCCTGACTCTAACAGATCTGAGTAGTTTCTCTTTATAATTTCTTGTAATACAATTTCCAGGCTTTAAAAACAAAATCATGATTCAGGGAATCCAGTGATTTTTAAATTACTTCTCCTTGACTTGTTTTCCAAATCAGTTATTTTTAGTATCAGATATCATATATTTTCTTTTATTTTTGCAATCTTATGATTTTCTTCTAATATTTCTTTCTGTCTCATGTAGTCATTGATACCTGCTTTGTCTAATTTAGTTCTCAGGCAGTCTGATATTTGGGTAAAGTTTAGCATTTTCTCTTCTAAGCTCTTTATCCTCCTTCCAATTCTTTCCTCCAGAGCTTTTATTTCATTTTTGTCTGTTGCTTCATTTCTTCTTGGTGTTTATGTAATTCTTGTAGAAAATACATTTTTGTCCCTTTGAGTCTTAGCTCGCAGTTGCTATAAAGTTACTTTCTCCCAATCCCCAACTGCTTTTTAAAGGATCTCTAGATTTGCAATAATTTTTATACTGGTTAGTGTTTTCTGTGATTTAGTTATCTTTCCAGCTTTATTTTCAGAATTGGGACATTGTGCCAATACTAGGCTCCACCCTCTTTAGATTTAAAAAGTAATGACTTTAGCTTTCCTTGCCAGCCGCAGGCAATGAACTTTTCCACTTCTGACATTATTCTTACAGGACTGTTCAATGTTATTGTATTTTTCTTCCATTACTCTATATTACTAGCATCTTCTATTTACATTTTCTTAAAATTTATGTCCTGTAGAATTTTAGGGCATGGGATCCTATCATTTCTCTAAATCCTTTAAAATATATTCTCCCATAATCTAGAACATATATCACACTATTCAGAAATTGCCTCTCTTTTCTTTCACAAATTCTAACATGTAATGTTTTTACTTTCACCCACAAGGTTCCCATCATTTTCACTATGTAAGTTACTCCCTCCCTAGTAGTGAGAATCAAATCTAGAGTGGATCCTGTCCTCATTGGTTCTTCTAACTTTAAGGATGAGATTTTCATTTAAGCTTAACAAGAAATTACCCTGCTCTGCTTTTGGCAAGAAAGAACTCCAGCAAGTATCTGAAAAATTAAAGTTCACCATCACTAACTATATCATACCTCTATGCCAGGCCTATAATATGACTCCCAAATTTTTCATCTAGTTCCTTTCTCAGTCCAGGTGATTTATTGTATACAAGGATGACAATATAATTTCTATTTCTCACTCCTTTGCTCTTCACCAAAATATTCTACTACACTATGCTTGCCTCCTCTGGTTTCTGGGTTGTCTATGAATATAATCTTCTTTGTGATCCTATTTGGGGTTTATTGGCAAAGATACTGGAATGGCTTGCCATCACCTTCTCCAGTTTGAAGAAGGTATAGCCTTCCAATGCCTTGTTATAGTTTCATTCCAAAAAGTTTTAGTGATACAGTCAAATTTGCCTCTTTTCATTAAGCTCTCTAGTTCACTTTGCTGGTTACTCAAGCTTTGTGTATTTATGTATAGACAGTTTAGGCCAGAAGTTTATTGCAGGATCCTTCTCTCAACTTTTGTTCATCATCAGAACTAATTTGTCATTTGCAAGTGCTGAGTTTAATGACATTCATCAAATCGTCAAGTATTATAAAGCACTTAATATGTGCAAAATTTGTGCTAAGTACTAGGATATAAAGATGAATATGGCACAGTCCCTGTCCTCAAGGAGTTTATTATCTAATTGACAAAATATTTATATAAAAGATAAATAATAATCTAGCTGTCAAATGAGAGATGCTGACAAGACGTTCTACATGAGATAAAAAGGAGAGATCACTATGGACTGTGGCAGTCTTTCTAGAGGATATGGACTTTAAGCATAACCTTTAAAAAAAGTAGGACTTGGGGGGCAGCTAGGTGGCACAGCGGATAGAGCACCAGCCCTAAAGTCAGGAGGACCTGAGTTCAAATCCAGCTTCAGACCAAACACTTGACACTTACTAGCTGTGTGACCCTGGGCAAGTCACTTAACCTCAATTGCCTTTGAAAAAAAAAAGTAGGACTTGGATGAACCAAAAGGATAAGATTTATGAAGGGGGCAAGGTATGAAAAGGGGCACAAGAATTATCTTTTAAACATTTGAAGAGGTGTCACAAGGAAGAGACATTGGAGGTTTCGCTTGACTTCAGAAGGAAAAATTAGGACTAAGGTGGGATTAATTAATTAGCATTATTAGGTACTTAATATGTTCTAAGCACTGTGCTTGCCATCAAGGATTTTACATTCTCTTAGGGGGAGAAAGCTATTATAGAGAAATGGTGGCCAGAGAGAGATATTTTGATTTGGAAAGTGACTAACATGATAAAGGAAGCCATAGAGGAACAGATTGGAATACCCTTTCTTGTAGTAATGGCAATATTGCTTATAGTTCCAGAAATAGAAAGCAGTTGCAGAGGGGAGCTGCATAAGCATATGAGTGTCATGTCTTCTGGTACCTGTGTGGCAGGCTTCTGGTATAGTGAAGTAGGAAAGTAAAACATGGATAGGTCCAACATGAAATGGTGAACCAGATGAAGCAGTCACCAATCAGAGCAGCAGGATCTGAACATGGGAGTTCCAAAGCTAAATTATTGCTTTCAGTGCATGGTTTCTGGTTTTGGCAACAAGGCTACTGGCTAAAAGATGACAAGGGAGTAAAGTACGGCTGGGGCCTGCCTGAAATAGTGGACCAGGTGAGGCACTCACCAATCAATCAGTGTAGTGAGACTTCAAGAGGGAATTCTGAGGCTGAAAGGGTTAAGGCAAGGTGGCTGGAGGCATGGGAGGCAGGGGAGAAAGCTGAGCTGGAAATAAGGAAAATTTTCCTCACAATTTACTGTCCAAAAATAGAATGAGTTGCCTTTGAAGTTGTTGCTTCCCCATCACGGGAAGTCTTCAAATGGAAACTTAATGACCACTTGTTCCCTCAGCTAAAACTGAACTCTCCATCCTCAAGTTTTCTAAAACAGTTTTCCTAGATATGACAAGGATGTCTGGAGTGGAGTAGCTCTGCACTACTTTACATTTTAAACAGTGACATGGGTAAAGGAAGGATGGCATGCACATTCAATTTTCAGATGATCTAGTACCAAGTTAGGATTAACAGTAATCTTGACAGGAGTTAGCGTGGTATAGTGGATATAACTTTGTACCTGAAATCAGGAAGACCTAAGTTCAAATTCAGAGGTACCTTCTAAGAAGGGTTTGTTATTTCATGATTTTTTTATTAATCACCAGATGAAAGAGCAGCATGAGAGAACAGTTATCTCAAAACCTGAGGGGTTTTTTCAGGCCCACAAATCCCATTCTCCTTTGCATATTAGTGAAATAAAATGAGCTACTAAAACCAGTGGCTATCTTTAGAAGAGAAAGCATAATATTTATTCTTGGAAATCAAATATTTAAAGAGAAATTATAATCAACATTTTATATTTATCTGTCTGAGACTATTTTTTTTATAAGAAAATGTGGCAACAGCTGGCAGAAAATGAGAACTGAGAGAATAGAATTCTAGATTGCAGTTGGCTGCTGCCTTAGCACGCTACTAGTTTATTTACCTATGCTTCCCATATAAATGAGGATGAATAAATGTTCCAGGTAGAAGATATTAACATTAATATGTGTCTGCTTCTCTTACTTCCCTGGGTGACACATACTACATGTAAATGTGATTGAACAAGTACATGCGTGTACCCCCACACACATACTCTGAATCTTCCAGCTTCCACTTGACAGATTTTTTTTTCATATGCTGAGATTACTTGGGGCTCAGAAATGTACAAGTCATATATCTACCTTTGTCAGGGCTATTGCCCCCCAAAAGCTGATACTGTTCCCTGAGAGACACTAGGATACAAAGTCATGTATAATCTCAGAGCTCAAAGTACCAGTAGAATGCTCTAGCTCACAGTCTGGCAAGAACTAGGTATAGACCAATATCTTACACCATTACCAAGATATGACCTAGACATAAAGGGAGATACCATAAGTAAATGAAAAGAGCATGGAACATATTACCTATAAGATTTATGGACAGGGAAGAATTTATAAATAAACAAGATATAGAAAGAATTGTGGGATATAAAATGGATAATTTTGATGAGATTAAATTTAAAAAATTTAATGATGAGATTAAATTTAAAAAATTAAAAAGTATTTGCACAAATAAAACCAATGTAGCCAAGATTAGAAGGAAAATAAAAAACGGGGGGGAAATGTTATGGACATTATTTATTTATTTATTTCCATTTTATATTTTTATAATATATAAAATATTATAGACATAGACAAATATATAGACAAATGTTATAGACAGATAATCTCAGATAAAGGCTTCATATCTCAAATATATAGAGAACTGAGTCAAATTTATAAGAATATGAGTCATTCTAGCTCTGTGACTCTTGGCAAGTCACTTAACCCCAATTGCCTCACTAAAAAAAAAAAAGAATATGAATTATTCTCCAATTGATAAGTGGTCGAAGGATATGAACAGGCATTTTTCAGAAGAAGAAATCAAAGCTACAATGTACTCATATGAAAAATGCTATAAATCATTGTCGATTAGAGAAATGCAAATTAAAACAATTTTGAAATACCATCTCACACCTATCAGATTAGCTCAAATGATAGAAGGGGGAAATGACAAATGTTGGAAGGGATGTGGAAAAACTGGGACACTGATACACTATTGGCAGAACTGTGAACTAATCCAACCATTTTGGATAGCAATCTGGAATTATGCCCAAGGAGTTGTAAAAAAACAAAACAAAACCAAAAAAACCTCTGTATACTCCTTGTTCCAGCATTACTACTATTAGGTCTATTCCCCAAGGTTATCAAGGAAAAAAAGAAAAAAATCTATATATTCTAAAATATTTAAGGCAACTATCTCTGTGGTGGCAAAGAACTGGAATTTGAGGGAATGCCCATCAATTGGGGCATGGCTAAATAAATTGTGATATATGGTTGTAATAGAATATTCCTCTGCTGTAAGAAATGACGAACAGGTTGATTTTAGAAAAACACAGAAAGACCTACATGAAATAATGCAGAGTGAAACCAGAACCAAGAAAACATTGTATACAATAACAGCAATATTGTTCAAAGACTAATTGTGAATGGCTAAGCTATTCTAAATAATACTTTAAATAATTTGAATATTCAAATCAACCATAAAGGACTTACAAAGTTAAATGCTATCCACCTCCAGAGAAAGAACTGATATATGGAAGTATGTATTATATGGTTTCACATATATATCTATATCAAATGTTGGCTTTCTCTAATACAGGATTGGGAAGAAGGGAGGGAGACAGCTCGTAACTCAAAATGTAACCAAATAAATAAAGTAATTCTTTAAAAAATGCTCTAGCTGTTCTAAACCCAGTGTATAATCTATGATCCCACAAATCTATAAACATCCCCACCACTTTAGGGGATCCCAAACTGCTGGTTTCACACTAGCCACACTTTCAATTTCACTCTATCCTTGCTCAAACTGATCTATTCTCTCTTCCTCTCTCTCCTTCCCTCCTCCTCCCTGCCCATCTCTCTCACACACATTATACATTTCAACTCCAAATCAAATAGGTCTGTGATCTCATCAATTTGTATATTACTTACAATGATGCAGATAATAACCTGTATGTGACTCAATCTATTATTATTATTATCATCATCATTGTTCCTACCGTCTTCTAAGTTCATCAAAGGTGTCTCACCCAATGCCCTAGGGCTTTCGCTTTTTCTTGACATCATAAAGGTGTCAATGGAATACATGTCCACGTGTTCCCACTTTCTCACCACATGACTAACCTATCTTTTTTTGAATCATACATTTGTCTGAGTATATGTTTGCCTCTAATCTTTCTTTGAAGTTCTTTATCTGTTGTCTTTCAGCCTGCTCACACCCACTTTAAATGAACAAATAAATGGCATTTATTCAATGTTTACTATATATGTTAAGTGTTAGGGATGCAAATAGAAAAATGAGGGCCCCTCCTCTCAAAGAGTTCATATTATATTGGGATGGGGGAAGAGGAAGAAGGGATAATTATATGACACCTACTAAGTGCACTGTGCTAAACGCTTTTTACACATATTTATCTCATTTAGATCCTCACAATAACACTGTGAGGTAAGTGTCATTATTATCCCTCTTTTACAGTTGAGGAAACTGAGGTAAACAGAGGCTAAGTGACTCACCTGGGGTCACACAGCTGGTGAGTGTCTGAGGTTACATTTGAACTCAGGTCTTCCTGACTCTAGGCCCAGTACTCTATGCACCAAGTCACCAACTGCCTCTAGAAAAGGCAGTCATGAGAGAGAAGTCAAGTCAGTCAGTTAACAAGCATTTTTAAGTACTTACTATGTTATCTAGGCACTGTGCTAAGAACTGATATAAAGAAAAGGGGGGGGGGAATAGCCTCTGCCTTATGGAGTTAATAGAAAACTACTGAATTTTATTGATATTTAGAACTGAAAGAGCCCTTAGGTCAACTAATCCAATCCACTCATTTTGGAGGTAAGGAAGAGATATTAAGTCACTTGTCCAAGATCACATAGCTAATGACTGATAAAAACAGGGTTTAAAACCAAATCTTCTGACTTCAAAGCCATACTTTACCATACTGCATCACCATAGAGCTACTGGATTTTATTGAATGTGTATGCATGCTTGAGGAAGTGATATGGTCAGACCTACAATTTAGGAAACTTATTCTGGAAGCTGAGGAGAGGATGGATTGGAGGTAGATTGAAACAGGAAGACCAATTAAAAGCCAACTCTAATAGTCCAGACAAAAGGTGTGAAGGGCCTGAACTGGAGTGGTGGCTGTGTGAGTAGAGCTGAGGGGATACATATGAAAGACTTTGTGGAAGTAAAAATGAAAAGATTTGCCAATAGATTGCTAATTATGGCATGAGAGTGAAGGGTTAAAATGATACTGAGATTGTGAACATGGGTAACTAGGAGGACAGTGGCATGCTTAATAGTAATAGAAAATTTCAAAGGGATTTGAGGAAAAGACAATGAGTTCTGTTTTAGATGTGTTGAGTTTGAGATGTCTATCAGAGATCCAGTTCAAGACGTTCAATAAGAAATTGGCGACTCAGGACTGAAGCTCAGGAGAGAGACTAGGGCTGGATATATGTAGGAATCATCTACAGAGATACAGTCATTGAATCCATGGGAGCTGATGAGATAACCAAGTGAGATACTATAAAAAGAAAAGAGATGGTCCAGGATAGAACCTTGGAAGACACCCTTAGATGAAGATAGAACAAAGAAGATTGAAGAAGACCAGTTGGACGAATAGGAAGAGGCCCAAGAGAGATCACTGCCATGAAAACCTAGAGAAGAGAAAGGATTCAATAGGAAAAGATGATCAATAGTCACAAATACTACAGAGAGATCAAGAAGGATGAGAAATGGCAACAATGAGAAACTAATGGAAGGTCAGGATGGAGCACCCTCTAAGACTTTCTGAACCATCCAAGTAAGAGCAGAATGATGGCTTTCAGCCATTGCTAACCTGATGATTAAAAGCAGAAGGCAGTGTAGGTGATCAGACTGAGAGCTGAGGTGAGTGGTTGTTTAGATATCAATGGAAGGGAGAGGTGCTGGGACTGTGAGAGGAGTAGAGAATACATTGGAATGAATGGCAGACAGGTTGATTTGAAGACCTTGGAC